CTCAGTCTGCTCTTCAGTCCTTCACACCAGTTCCTGACTATAAGATATGCTGACCTATAGCCATTTTAGCCTCACCTCCAGAAACAGAGGCAAAGTGGTCCAAAGGCCTCTTTATCAGCTCCCACAGTTATGTAAACTCTAATCCCTGTAATTGCTCTCTTATACCGGGCTTCCCTGGTGGTGCAGTGGTTAAGAGTCCGCCTGCTAATGCAGGGGACACAGGTTAGAGCCCTGGTCCAGGAAGATCCCACGTGCCACAGAGCAACTAAGCCCGTGAGCCACAACTACTGAGCCTGTGCTCTAGAGCCTGAGAGCCACAACTACTGAGCCCGTGTACCATGACTACTGAAGCCCGTGCATCTAGAGCCCATGCTCTGCAACGAGAGAGGCCACTGCAATGAGAGGCCTGCACACTGCAACGAAAAGTAGACCCCCTCGCCACAACTAGAGAAAGCCCGTGTGCAGCAATGAAGACCCAACGCAGCCAAAAATAAATCCCCCCGCAAAAAAAATCTCTTATACCGTATCAATCATAGTAGTTCTGCTTTCCTAACCAAACTGTAGCTGATACAAAAATAGTCTTCATGGATCCATAACGAAGTACAAACTCCTTTCCATGGTATATATGACCTTCAAGTCGGCCTCAATCAGTGCTTTGACCTTTCATCCAGTGCTTTGACCCACCTTCCCTCATAACTATTTTGCCATCATGTGAACAAACTTGCTGCTAATCACATATGGTGTACTGTTTTAGCTTTTTTTTCTTCCAGTTTTACTGAGATATAATTGACATAGAGCACTGTATAAGTTTAAGGTGTACAGCATAATGATTTGACTTAACATACATCTTGAAATGATCATCACAGGAAGTTTAATAAACAAAAAAGAAAAAGAAGTATTTTTTTACCTGTAATGAGAACTCTTAGGATTTACTCTAACAACTTTCATATATATCATACAGCAATGTTAATTATATTAATCATGTTGTATATTACATCCCTAGTATTTATTTTATAACTGGAAGTTCGTATCTTTTGACCACCTTCATCCAATTCCTCCTCCCTCCACTTCCCACCTCTGGTAACTGCAAATCTGGTCTCTTTTTCTGAGTTTGTTTTTCTTTTTAAGTATAATTGACCTACAACACTATGTTAGTTCCTGGTGCACAACACAGTGATAATGATATTTCTATACATTACAAAATGATCACTTGTTTTAGCTTTTCTACCTCTATCTAGAATGACTCTCTCCCCATTCCAGAAGAACCAGCTAAAAAGTTGCTTCCTCTATGACATCCCCCTCATCTGTCACATAGATTTAATCTTTCTCTTGTTCCCATGGCACTTAAATTTTTAAATGAAAGTTTTAATTGAAGGATAACATATACAAAGAAAAATAAACAAATCTTAGTTATGCATTTCAGTAGTTACACAAAGTGAACACACCCCTGTACCCCTGTGAAAAGCACCTAACTCAAGAAATAGAACAATACTAGAACCTCAAAGTTCCCTCTTCCCATTTCCAGACACTATACCTCCAGCCTGAATTTGAACGTACGTTGGTTTTGCCTGTTTGAAACTTATGTATACGATATGGTCTCTTTTGAATCTAGATTCTTTTCCCTTGCGCCTCTGAGATTCACGGAAGATGCTGAACAGATGTAGTTCATTTGCTCTCATTGCTCTTCAGTAGTCCATATTTACCTATTCCACTGTTGATGGGTCACTGAGTTGCTTCCAGGTTTGGGCTGTTAGTAAAGAGTGCTATTATGAACACTTTTGTAGTTGACTTTTGGTACACATAATATAGTGTTTTTTATATCTTTCAGTTTTAACACTTCTGCATTGTGGTGTAGTTATTACATTACATGTCTGTTTCCCACACTAGACTGAGTTCCCTGAAAGGCTTTGTAACCTCAGTGTCAATTACATTACATGAGACATAGCAGGACTTTTAAAATGTTTGTAAAGGAAGGAGCATCTAAAAGAATCCTTTTTATTTTAATATTTATTCCTTTATGTTTCTTAAAACCCTTAAACGTACTATTTTACCTTTCTTGTGGTCATGTGTAAGAAGCGGACCCATTCTTAATTAAAATATCTGTAGAGGGCTTCCCTGGTGGCGCAATGGTTAAGAATCCGCCTACCAATGCAGGGGACACAGGTTCGAGCCGTGGTCCGGGAAGATCCCACATGCCACGGAGCAACTAAGCCCGTGCGCCACAACTACTCAGCCTGTGCTCTAGAGCCCACGAGCCACAACTACTGAAGCCCGTGTGCCACAACTACTGAAGCCCGCGTGCCTAGAGCCTGTGCTCTGCAACAAGAGAAGCCACCACAATGAGAAGCCTGCGCCCCGCAACAAAGAGTAGCCCCCGCTCACTTCAACTAGAGAAAGCCCGCGTGCACCAGCGAAGACCCAATGCAGACAAAAATTAAATTAATGAATAAATAAATTTATATAAAAATATCTATAGAAATACATGATCAAGAATGCTTTATTTACTGCAGTGATCATTTCATAATGTATGCAAATATCAAATCATTATGTTGTACACCTGAAACTAATATATTGTTATATGTCAATATATCTCAATTTAAAATAAATGCTTCATACTAAGCACTGTACTGAAAGTACTAAAAGGCATTAGTGTTCCATGAGATATATTTTAGGTAGAATTACAGGATTACATAATTGGAAGGCACCTTAGGAACTGATTCAATCCATCATATTCATCATTACATTTCAGTAGGAAGTACCACATCTAAACCAGCACAGCTACAAGAAGCTACTTTTTAAATACCTTTACCTGAATAACCTCAATTTCTTTTCTCCTTATGCTATTCTCCTTGATTGGAAATTCATAGTACCAGCAAATGGAAATACAACAGAAGTCACTGGCAGAAAAATTCTTATTCATCATAAATTAAAGACCAATATACTGCAAATTCGCTTATTACATAAGTTTAATGAACAGTTGCTAAAATGAAGTCCTAGATACGAAATGAATACCCAAGCCCTCTTATAAGTATGCACGACGACTGGAACTGAAAAGGATATATAATAAAAGAGCAAGGAAAGAGTAGAGGAAGCGGTAGATATTAAACACATAAAATCTCCCTAGTTGGACACCGTTGGTTTCTTACACTCTGGTGTCCTGGAAAAAGTCCAAGATATAAAGCAAGAGTTTTTTGCATTGACTGACTCCTGGCTCTGTCTACTTACTCCTGTACTTACTGCTACTTGACCCTGGGCAAATGAGTTAATATGGTTCAATTTCCTCATTGACAAACACCCTACAGCGTTTTTGGAATACATATTATGTGCTTGGCAAGTATCAGGCACTCAGTAAGCCGTAGTTTTTATTACCTGACGGTAATCTAACAGCACACGATCTCAAAGTTAGTAAGCATCAGGAGCAAGAAACAAGACCCCAGTTCTCCCACTCCAGTCCAGTCCCACCTGAATACCTCTGAAAGGACCACTGAGTGTCTATCCCTTTGGCTGGAAGCGGATGTGGTGTTTTGAAGTAGCACAAAGTGCGACGCAGCAGGAAGGCGGGACTTCCGTCGCAACGGCTCCAGCATCTGCGGGACAGAGAAAACGAACCGGAACAGGTGGGAGGAACGCCCGCCGCCAGAGGGAGGTGTCCGGAAGCGCCCGGAGCGGGGACTACACTTCCCACAAGCCCGCGGGGGCAGGGCGAGGGGCGGGCGTCGGGGACCTTACCGGACAGGCCTTGCCCGGCAGTACCAAGGTAAATGCCGGCACTGCGGCTCCAAGGGAAGAGTAACTTAGAGTCTGCGCCTAGATTTGGACTAGTCACCCTTCTAACCCCTCCCGAACTGACAAAGGGACCTGACGACTTTGTGATTTCCGGGCAGCAGGAGTCCACCCCCAGAACCTATAGCAGTACCCCCGCCTTGGGCCTGGGGGCGCGTCCTAGATGCCTGAGGACGCGGGGCGATGTGCTAGAAAGGTGAAGGCCCAGGGTACCTCTTTCTAGGGTTGATGATCAATACTGGTCCTTCGTTCGCCCCTCCCCCACGCCCTGTCGCCCATTAGCTCGGGCTGGAGCTGTACGGAGCTCGGATCCCTGGGGATCGAAGTCGGGGTTGGTGCAAAGGAAGGTGCTCTCCCTCCCCCCGCCCAGTCTAAGTAGCGGGCAACCTCCCCTCTCCTTTGGTTGTTGCTCGGACGTCCTTGTCTCGGGGCGGCTAAAGCTGTCAAAGATCTGCGAGCCAAGCACTGCTAAGCACCTCCATCCAGCATACCTAATCCTTTCATCTACCCTTTCGGGTGTTAGGAAGATTGCCGCTGGAGAGGCTAAGTAACTTGCCCTAGGTCGCAGAACTTAAATGGCAGAACTTAAGGTTCGCACCAGGTCTCTCTGGATCTAAAGCTCTTTGCTTAAGTCCCATCACCCTTCTCAAACCTTAACCTAAGAGAGGACAGGCGCTGGGGACCACAGTCATTTTTTTGCCCAGCGGTGCCCACACGCGCTGCAACCCCGCCTCGGCTGCCCTGGCGCCGACAGGTCGGGCCTGTTCAGACAACGAGCCCGGGGCCCTCCGCCGATCCATCTCGCTGCTCTTCTTTTCCGCTTTCTCCGGCCCTTTTCCAGGGACAGACAGACGGCGTGCGTCATCGCCAAGGCTGCTGGGCGGGTGGGTGGAGTTTGCTGCGCGGCGAAGGTGGCGGTAGAGAGTGGGTCCCCCCAAGACTCTGGGGCGGGGCTGCGGGGAGGGCGCGGACGGACAGATGGACCTCGCCGGGATGGGGGGTGTGGCCGCTCCGCCAGGGTCCTGCGGGTGGGTCAGCGGCACAGCGACCACCAGTGCCTGGGGCTCCTCCGCCTTCCGCTAGAGATGCTCTTCCTCTCGGTGAGTTGTTTTTCTGGGCGGCCCGGCCTCCCCAGCCTAGGTCACGCCCCGGGGAGGAGGAAGGAGCCGGGCCATCTCAGACTGTGTGGCCTGGATAGGGCAGGGCCACGGGGAACTGACCAGCTGCGCTTCGGGTCCTCCTCCCTTTGGGCATGTTGATCCGCGGCTGCGCTCCATGTTCCAGTTTCATGCAGGCTCCTGGGAAAGCTGGTGCTGCTGCTGCTGCCTGATTCCAGCCGACAGACCTTGGGACCGGGGCCGGAGCTGGAGGCTGGAGATGGCGGACACGAGATCCGTGCATGAAACCCGGTTTGAGGCGGCGGTGAAGGTGATCCAGAGTTTGCCGAAAAATGGTACGTGCACTTGGGCCCGGCTGGACAAGCCTTCTGCAGAGGCTTGAGGCCCCAGTTTCTGAATCTCACCTCCTTTAGCCTTCTTTCTGCTTCAGTCTTGCTTATTTAACCTACTTCTTTTTTTGCGTTGAAAACGCATGTAATTGAAGGGGAGGTGTCGGATGGGAATTAATTGCCTGCTGATCTTTCAAGCCTGAGACAAATATATTATCCAGATTTTAAGCAGTTTATATTGTTGTCGAAAAGAAAAGTCCCTTAATGACTGCGGATTGGGGTATGTTTTTAAAAAATCTGGGATGGGGATGCCTAGGACCACATACTCATAAAGTCTACTTTTTGAAAACTTTTGATATGAAGGGAAAGAAAGGAAAGAACAGCTATATTCATTTGTAAAACGATTTCTCTTATTTACATATATATTTACTACTTTAAAAAACAAAACCTGTTCTATGGTCCTAGTGTTCTCTTTTTCATACTCATATGGGACCTTTGCACATTGGGTGAAAAGTCATTGGAGCTGTTCTTTCATATTTAACCTGTCGTTTCTCTGGCTTCTGTCAAGATTTTTCTCTTTATTGTTGGTTTTGAGCAGTTTGATTATGATCCGTCTTGGTATGGTTTTCTTCATATTAATGCTGTTTGGGGTTTTGCAGAGCTTTTTGAATTTGTAATTTTATGTCTGACAAATTTGGGGAAGTTTAAGGCCGTTATTCAAATATTTTTTCGGTGGAGAGGCTTGGCAAGGGGGAATTTGACTTTTCACTTCATATCTTTCTGCAATAAATGTGTATTTTTCCACAATAAACGTGTATTTTTTTAATGATACTTTTAACTACTATCATTGTGCCAGAGTATAAAACTAACTGAATATAACACTAATATACTACTATAGTATTTAATGTCATGTTCCCTATTTTCATTAATTATCATTTGGCTAAGTAATGAATGTTCAGTACTATTAACAAACGTTCATTAAGTGCAGATACAAAAGGTTTTGAAAACAAATATACACAAAATAGCTTTCCTTTCGTAATCTCAAACACCAAATTGGAGGAGGACATATGAGGAATTGAAAGAAAAGAGTGAATGAACAAAATGTAGAGAAATAACATAGGAACTTATCTAGGTATTGATTTTTTAAATGTCTGATGAAGAGAGTTTACAGGAAGGCATGATTCTAAGAGTTTTGTTTAAATGGTACCTTCATCCTTCTAAACCACACGTTTTTATATTTTTTGAAAATTGATAGAGCTAGACTTGATGATAGTTTGCTATCTTTGCTGACACCATATATCACTTATTAGGAAACCCATATAAGTGTAAATACAGTTTGTGTTTATATAACATTTAAGAAGGTATTGCCAAGTTAAGAACCTCTGCCAAAGGGCAGCTGGGTGGGGCAATGTTCAGTACTGTACTATTATCTACTGAAACTAAATTGATAATAATTGAAGCAGAAGTATTGTTATAATGAATTATTAAATAGTTTTATAGTAAAACTTTTAAGTTGTGTTATCTGTCCTGGATTATCTTGCAGATATTCTTATAGTTTTTTTGTTGCTTGTTGCTTAATCTTTATCTATGGCATAAAGTTATAATGAATCCTATAGCACCTATGTTTGGTATGCCCTTGACCTTTAGAAATTTATTTTCCTATATTATGTTTTAAACACATACATATCAAATGTATTGGGTTTGCCAAAAAGTTTGTTCAGGTTTTTCTGTAAGATGTTGTGTGTGAGCACCTTGAGGATAGAGACTATACTTTATCTAGTGTCTTATACACAGAATATATTCAATATATGTTATTAGTTTTTGCTCTAACCTAATGTATATTTTACTCACCTTAACCAATAAACTTTTAAATCTCAGTTGACTGACTTACTGAAGATATTATGAGATGAGGCTTTTGATGTTTTAAATTTAGGTTTGTATCATTTAAATAGGTAACCATTTTTTTTTAAAATATGTAAACATTTTTAACTATAGTTTCTCCATTTTCTTCCCCTCTGCTATATAAAGACTATGTCATTGAAACACTGTATCTAATGGATACTCCTAAATGAGCATATATTGTGTAGATAATTTATTATTGTGATTTTGGAATTAATTATTCACTCCTGGTCAAACCTGAAACACCAGTTCTCAGCTTGTCTGTGTTGTAATTTTCACAATGTTTATAAACTACTAGCTTTTGATTACCACATGTTATCAGATTATTATGCAATCTATGAAGTTTTAAAAACATCTTTTTACAGTTTTAATTTTTGTTTTTATAATGAATTTTGGAACAAAAGTAATGCACAATAAATGTAAATTTTTTAAAAGTGCAAATAAGCAAAAAAGAAACGAAGTAATCTATATGCCTATGACAGCGATATCTATCCTCTTTTAACATGTTTCCTTCTGCGCTTTTTAAGTATGTAAGTACTTATTTTGTAAAAATTGATTGTGCTGGATATGCTGTTTTAAACTGCTGTTTAACTCTCATTTTATAGTAGATCTTGAAACTTTTCTCATGCTATTTTTTATATATTTCTACAGTAAAATTTTTAAGGGCGGTAGTTATAAATAATCCCATAATTTATGTATATCATAATTATTTAGCCAGTTAGTTATTATAAAACATTTATATTCCAATTTTTCTCTCTCATTAAGAGTATTGCAAATTATAGCACTTGTTCAAACAATTTGAAAACTTTAAACATAAAAAAGTTTATTGACAAGCTAGAAACATGTGAAGACTGATCCTCAAAAAATTGGCATGTCCAAAACTATGGAGGTAGGAAGTGAGAAATCTATTTTATCTTGGATTAATTCTTTTTCTACCGCAGTACACACTGGTTGGCTTTAGCCAAAGTTCCTAATCCCCTGAGAAATCAGAAATTTGGCCAAGAGAAGTTTAATTTCTTACTGTTGCAGTTTTATTAAGCAGAGTATACATTTAACTTTCATTTGTGCTATAGTCAGTGTGGTTTGTCACAATTTTTTAATAGAAATACCTTATTACAGTTGCATGATACAGTTATTCTATATTTTATTTATTTTTTTAAATGACATTTGCCAGTTATTTTGGTTACATCTACAACATGTTTATTCTTTTATTCTCTTATTTATTGAACTATGTTATGCGTTGTTATTAAAGTGTAAAATCTCAGAGTTTTTTCAAATCAAAGAAATAAACTGAGCCATAACTTTTGTTTATATAAAATAAGAATAAATTGTCTGAACTATTAATGAAATATTAAAAAGTCACTGTTAGTAAGCTAAGCATTAGCTCATCAATTATGTTCTCCAAGTGATCTTACTTAATGTATGTTTCCAATAGGTTCATTCCAGCCAACAAATGAAATGATGCTCAAGTTCTATAGCTTTTATAAGCAGGCAACTGAAGGACCCTGTAAACTATCAAGGCCTGGATTCTGGGATCCTATTGGAAGATATAAATGGTAATTTTATGTAGAGAGCTATGAGAGAATTTTGAGTTTAATGACATAATTATCATATGACTATTACTTATGTAGTTATGGATTATTCTGTGCACAAAGTATTCTAGGTACTGGATACATTTTTATCTTCTATGTGCTCTTTTTTTTTTTAAACAAGGGTTTTTTTTTTTTTAAGTAAATTTCTTTCTTTATTTTTGGCTGCATTGGGTCTTCATTGCTACATGCGGGCTTTCTCTAGTTGCAGTGAGTGGGGTCTACTCTTTGTTGCGGTGTGCGGGCTTCTCAATGCGGTGGCTTCTCTTGTTGCGGACCGTGGGCTGTAGGCGCGTGGGCTTCAGTAGTTGCAGCACGCGGGCTCAGTAGTTGTGGCTCACGGGCTCTAGAGTGCAGGCTTAGTAATTGTGGCGCATGGGCTTAGCTGCTCTGCGGCACATGGGATCTTCCTGGACCAGGGCTCGAACCTGTGTCCCTTGCATTGGCAGGCGGATTCTTAACCACTGCGCCACCAGGGAAGCCCCCTCTGTGTGCTCTTAACACAATTTCACTCAAATAGGAAGGTCTTGGGGAAGAAAAGAAGACAATAAAACCAAAAGAGGTAGATTTATCAAAGATATAAAAGCATTTTCAATTAGTGTTTCCTTTTATGGAGTTTGTTCTTTTTATTATGCCAAGAATAAGTCCCAAATTACATTAAAGAAACAACAGACTCTCCTGCCTCTTTTACCTGCCAAGAAGAAGAGTGACCTCTTGCTTGTCAGGTGACCTTGTTTGCTTTGAGCCATTGAGATAATATATAACTAGGAGCATGACTCAGGTTCTGCCTTACTTTTTCTCTAAGCTGTCACTCCTGTCCCACTGTACTTGAATAGAAATTTCATTTTTAATATATTTAATAGAATCACAAAATACCTCTGCCATGTTTCCAGTTGACTAACATTTGATGTTCTTAAACACTATTGAAGAGGTGACAAATGTCTAACAGGATGTCTGATGTCTAACATGACCATATGTCATGTACGTCAGGAACAGAGTGTGCTAATTGGCAGAGTAAGTCTTTAAGAGCCACATGTTTTGATGGCTAAGTTTCTTCACCCTGCATTGGAAGTCCTTAAACTCCTTTGAGGATTTCTTTCTTTTTTTTTTAACATCTTTATTGGAGTATAATTGCTTTACAATGGTGTGTTAGTTTCTGTTGTATAACAAAGTGAATCAGCTATACATACACATACATCCCCATATTGCCTCCCTCTTGTGTCTCCCTCCCACCCTCCCTATCCCACCCCTGTCCGTGGTCACAAAGCACCGAGCTGATCTCCCTTTGCTATGTGGCTGCATCCCACTAGCTATTTTACATTTGGTAGTGTATATAAGTCCATGCCATTCTCTCACTTTGTCCCAGCTTACCCTTCCCCATCCCCGTGTCCTCAAGTCCATTCTCTACATCTGCGTCTTTATTCCTGTCCTGCCCCTAGGTTCTTCAGAACCTTTTTTTTTTTTTTAGATTCCATATATATGTGTTAGCATTTGGTATTTATTTTTCTCTTTCTGACTTACTTCACTCTGTTTGACAGTCTCTAGGTCCATCCACCTCACTACAAATAATTCAGTTTCGTTTCTTTTTATGGCTGAGTAATATTCCTTTGTATATATGTGTCACATATTTATCCATTCATCTGTCGATGGACACTTAGGTTGTTTCCGTGTCCTGGCTATTGTAAATAGAACTGCAACAAACATTGTGGCACATGACTCTTTTTGAATTATGGTTTTCTCGGGGTATATGCCCAGTAGTGGAATTGCCGGGTCATATGGTAGTTCTATTTTTAGTTTTTTAAGGAACCTCCATACTGTTCTCCATAGTGGCTGTATCAATTTACATTCCCACCAACAGTGCAAGAGTGTTCCCTTTTCTCCACACCCTCTCCTGCATTTATTGTCTATAGATTTTTTGATGATGGCCATTCTGACTGGTGTGAGGTGAACCTCATCTTTGAGGATTTCTTAGTCCTGTACTTTCCTCTAAGGTCTTTATGACTAGTTGTATTAGGGTAAATGTAAGAGCAATATGTTATTTAAGCTGTTTGAAGAAAACTTATTTATTTACTTAATGATTTTCCTCAGAATTGACCCTTGGTGGAGTTAAACTGCTTCTGGAAAACATCTCTAAAATGAGAGGTTTTCTTTTTAGGCAAAAATTTCAAAGGGCTCTTCTCATTATTTGAGGCTTTAAAATTTTCCTGCCCCTCACATTTTCATTTTTTATTTAGAGGTAAGAAACCTTTTCCATTTTTCAAGTGTTATACTCTTATTTTTTAATATAAATTTATTTATTTTTATTTATTTATTACTTTTGGCTGCCTTGGGTCTTTGTTGCTGCGCGTGGGCTTTCTCTAGTTGAGGCGAGCGGGGGCTGCTCCTCATTGTGGTGCGCGGGCTTCTCATTGCAGTGGCTTCTCTTGCTGTGGAACATGGGCTCTAGGCGTGCGGGCTCTAGAATGCAGGCATGGGCTTCCCTGGTGGCACAGTGGTTAAGAATCCGCCTGCCCATGCAGGGGACACGGGTTCGAGCCCTGGTCCGGGAAGATCCCACATGATGCGGGGCAACTAATTCTGTGCACCACAACTACTGAGCCTGCGCTCTAGAGCCCGTGAGCCACAACTACTGAGCCCATGAGCCACAACTGCTGAAGCCCAGGCGCCTAGAGCCCGCACTCCGCAACAAGACAAGCCACCACAATGAGAAGCCCGTGCACCACAACGAAGAGTAGCCCCTGGTCGCCACAACTAGAGAAAGCCCACGTGCAGCAACGAAGACCCAATGCAGACCAAAATAAATAAATTAAATAAATAAATTATAAAAAAAATTAACCAAAACTTCTGTTCATTTGAAACATGACTGTGACAGTTCATGTAGAGTTTCTAAAATGTTCATTTTTGTCACTGTTATTTATAATGATATAAAGACTTTTAAAGAGTTCTTAGCAAATAATTATGAACAGTCTATGGTCTCTATAATCTATATAGAGATTATAGAGACTATATAATGTAGTCCCTATAATCTATGGTCTATAGATAGGTTTTATACTAATTAGTTTTAGCTACTATTTATTTATTTATTTATTTTTTATATGGGCCCTCTGTTGTGAGGTTACTCCTGCCTGGTTCCCATCCCCTTGGTGATGTGGGACCTGTGTTGTGAGGTCCCAACTGCTGTGTTCCTCACCTTATTATGATGTGGTCCATTGTGTGTGAGGTCACTTCTGCCTGGTTCCCATCCCCTTGTTGATGTGGGCCCTCTGGTGTGAAGTGGATCCTGCTGGGAGCCTCATTACTTTGGTGATGTGTGCCATCTGGTATGAGGCATGGACATATATACACTAACAAACGTAAGGTAGATAGCTAGTGGGAAGCAGCCGCATGGCACAGGGATATCGGCTCAGTGCTTTGTGACCGCCTGGAGGGGTGGGTTAGCTACTATTTAATTTGCCATTTTATTCACTGTGATATTTTTCTTCAAGGTGGTGCATTTAAAGAGATCCTTTGGAAACATTAATATATCTTTAAGTAAAGCCTGTTTTAAATTAATGATCCTATAGCAATAACTATAAATTGTATTCTGAGCAATTGAAATCAGGTGTCTTTCTGTAGTTAATTGGATATTTTTATTTCTAGGGATGCTTGGAGTTCATTAGGTGATATGACCAAAGAGGAAGCCATGATTGCATACGTTGAAGAAATGAAAAAGGTAGGGAAAATAATTCACAATAGAAAATAAAACTACTTAGAACAGTTTTTTATTTTTAATATTTATTTATTTATTAATTTTGGCTGTGCCGGGTCTTAGCTGTGGCCCACGGGATCTTTGTTGAGGCATGTGGGCTCTTTAGTTGTGGCATGAATGTGGGATTTAGTTCCCCAACAAGGGATCGTACCTGGGCCACCTGCACTGGGAGCACAGAGTCCTACCCATTGGACCACCAGGGAGGTCCCTATTTAGAGCAGCTTTGATTTAATTTTGTTATCAAGCAAATTAGCTTTGTTTTTAGGAACAAAGAGATTGTAATATGTTAGAATATAGAATCTAGATTATTGAGCTTATCAGGGCTTTATCTGTCTCATCAAAGTTCATCTTAAGGTAAATGTTTTTTCCTTCAGATGTGTCACATTGTGGGGACATGCTATTTTCTTTTCTTTTTTTAATAAATTTATTTATTTTATTTATTTTTGGCTGCGTTGGGTCTTTGTTGCTGCACGCGGGCCTTCTCAAGTTGCGGCGAGCGGCTACTCTTCGTTGTGGTACGCGGGCTTCTCATTGCAATGGGTTCTTGTCGTGGAGCATGGGCTCTAGGCATGTGGGCTCAGTAGTTGTGGCTTGTGGTCTGCACAGGCTCAGTAGTTGTGGCATACGGGCTTAGGTGCTCTGTGGCATGTGGGAATCTTCCCGGACCAGGGATCGAACCTGTGTCCCCTGCATTGGAAGGTGGATTCTTAACCACTGTGCTGCCAGGGAAGTCCTGTGTTTTCATTTTTTCATCTTTCTTATCTTTCTCTATCGTTGACTTCTGCAGAAAGTGTATAGATAGGAATCTTTTCAAATACTGATTTCCCTTACTCAGGAGTGTGGGACTTAACTGGGCTGTCTTGAAAACATTTCTGTTTTCAAACTTTTTATGAGAAATAGGTAACAAGACTGCCCAACAGTGTTCTCATACAAGTGTTGACTCATAAGTTGAGATGTTTCTATCACTGGATTTATCAGTAATAAGCATTTTTCTGTGAATGTAAAAATCCTGCAGACGCAGAATAAGACAAGGATGCTTTTAGTTTCTCTGGTAACTAGTAAAGAGGGCATTCTTTATTAACTAGCTCTTCAAGGAGCAAATTAATGAAGAAATCATGGATTTTTAAAGATGATCTTACTGCCTTTTTATAAAGGAGCATTTGTATTGATATGTTGGTAATGGATCAGAAGTTGTGAAATCTAGATCTGTATAATAATCTTTTTTTTTGTTTTTTTGTTTTTGTTTTTGTTTTTGCGTTTCGCGGGCCTCTCACTGTTGTGGCCTCTCCCGTTGTGGAGCACAGGCTCCGGACGCGCAGGCCCAGCGGCCATGGCTCATGGGCCCAGCCGCTCCGCGGCATGTGGGATCTTCCCAGACTGGGGCACGAACCCGCGTTCCCTGCATCGGCAGGCGGACTCTCAACCACTGCGCCACCAGGGAAGCCCTGTATAATAATCTTAAATAATCTTTGAACATAGAGAAAATATGTAAAAAAGGAATATTTTTTTTGCCAGATGCTTTGATAGTATTAATCTCTGTAGTAATTTTTATTTAGTAGATTCAGAGTAATTTGTTTTGTTTTAATGTCTTCTACATTGCTTAAAGTTGTGCACTTTGTTACATTTTCACAATTTTTTATTTGGTGGACTTTGTTTTTCTATAAAAGAGGTCAGAGCTTAGTTCTTTTGGCTGTTAAGTATATCAGTAGCAGAACAAAGGAGTCTTTCAAAAGCAGAGAGAGAACGATAATGTACAGCTTTGGTTTGATAACATTCTTTTTTCTTTAAATATTGTTATAATCTTTCCTCATTCCCACCATTTTAACTATATAGTGGTAATTACTTTTAATTGTATTTTGTAGATTGATACAGAAAAGACGTGTGTATATATATATCCTATTATTTAAAAAAAGAAAGAAAACCAATAATGGTATCATATTAAACATACTGTGCAGCTACTAGCTTTTTGCCTGTAAAAAAAATTTACAGATATTTTTCCAGTCAGCACACACAGAACTAATCGTAGTCTTTTTAATATCTGCAAAATATTCCATATATAGAAATACTTTATTTTGTCAGTCATCAGTTGATGGTTCTTTATTTGAATAATTTTTCACCTAATTTACCTTGCTCTTTAAACTTGATGATTCTAAATTTGCCCGTAGTTATGAAGGTGTCTGAAAGTGGTTGCCATTTCCTACGTTACTTAACACCCTTTTAAAAACACTACCTTGGTGTTAAAGAACACACAATAATTTTACTCTAACCCCACAATTTTCTATTTTATTTTACATTAGTGCCTTTAGTGCTTAATGCACAATCTATAGCTTATCCTATTAAATTTTACACGAAGCTTATGTAAAATAGTTTTCAAAATGAGAACGCTTTTAAATATTTACTTGAAATTTTCCTAGGATGGTATAGGCATCAATATGTAATTAACATAGATACTTTCAGGAGTCTGTAAAAGCACTTCAAATCTCAAAGTTATCAGTAAGTAAATTATAAATATATTATTTGGTGCTAGTGTGGATCACATTAATAGTTGGTTTTCACAGGATTTGTTTCTTTTGATTACAGATTCTTGAAACTATGCCGATGACTGAAAAAGTTGAAGAATTGCTACATGTCATTGGTCCGTTTTATGAAATTATAGAAGACAAAAAGAGTGGCAGAAGTTCTGATTTAACCTCAGGTTGGCCTCTTTTACCTAGTTTTTCGTTCAGCAGCTGATACATTATGCATGCATTAATATTTATATTATATGTCTAATTTTTCTTTTTTACTTTCACATGCCAGTCCGAGTGGAGAAAATCTCTAAATACTTAGAAGGTAGGAATAATGAAATCCATGTGAAACTTTGGTTTAAAATTTATATGCCAAAAGAACTCTGCACAAATTTATATAACTTACGGGCTTTTCACTCAAGAGTTTTCTTTCAAGCAAATACATTGCACAAAGTTCCAAAATATTATAAACCCTAATTTTTTTTTCAGAGTTTTAAAAAAAATTTTATTTTATATTGGAGCATAGTTGATTAACAATGTTGTGTTAGTTTCAGTGTACAGCGAAGTGATTCAGTTATACATATACATGTATCTATTCTTTTTCAAATTATTTTCCCATTTAGGTTATTACAGAATATTGAGCAGAGTTCCCTGTGCTATTCAGTAGGTGCTTGTTGGTATAAACCGCAATTTTTACCCTTAGGTTATTAAAACATGACAGATGGTTCATTTGTATACAAAATTATAACAGAATTCATGGTTTTATTTTTATGATTCATATTTCATATTTTCTATTTTGATTTATTAATTATATTAGCTGTTATATTGTTATGGCTGAAATGACTTGCTAGCTAATTTTAAGTGAATATGTTTATAGTATGGTTTAACTCTAGTGTAGCTAGCTAAAACAAGATGTCAGTGAATTCACCTCACTTGGTCTTTTTTTTTTAGAGTTCTGTTTTCATGTTCTCAGTAACGAATTGAAAGTCTTATCTTTTTACGTACTAGCAGGAGCTGAATAATCTGCAGATTTGCTGGTATTAACCGTAAACATTTGCTCTTTAAATTGTTTTAGAAAACAGAGTGAAATGAGCTCCTAAGAGTCATTCTAAATGACAATTATATATGTTTTGAATAAAAATCAGCCTGCCCATCCTTTTTTTTTTTTCCTGGCATTCCATTCACAAGGCATCTTTTACTAATTGATCAAAATAGGAATCTTCCTGTTCTGTCATAAGGCCTGCAGTTTGTGTCCGCCACATAACTGATGGTGACTTTTACTGGGCATAACTCTGTACCACACCCTCTGTTTCTGATTTGTCTACCTAGAGGGGTCAAATATTAACAAATAATCTTCTTTATAATTCATACTTTTTCAAGTCAGAAAAAAAAATTAAATGTTTTCTGTTTGTGAAGTGTGTTATTAGGATGCAGAGGGGAATAAATCAGGACCTGCTTTGGTTGTGTCCAGCCTACTGCCAGAGGCAAATGTTGAAACAACTAGCTATAAAAACAAGGAAGAGTGAAAAATGATAATAAAGGCTCAGATCCATAATCCCTTAGCTATAATTTAAGAGTTCAAAAGGCTTGATAAAGCTTTTTTGATAACCCATTTGAGAGCAAAACCTGTCCTAACATTAACAGGAGGAGCAAACCTTGACCTTAAATGACATGAGGCTATTTTAAGTTTTTATCCTATTTTGTACGGCTATTATATTTTGCTACAAATATCTTAATTTTTTTTTTTTTTTTAGTGAGAGCTGCCTTAGACACTGTTGAAGGTGTCATATACTATACATTATGTATAGTATATGACCTTTGCAAAATTAGAAAACTCTGGATTTCAAATCGTATCTAGATCCAAGAGTTGTAAGGGATGCGGACCTATACCATAATTTTTTTAACCTGTACCACTCTAATGGAATTTAGATTGTTTCCTCTTCTGATCTTCAAAAGATGCTGCTGAAAGTAACCATGTACAAATGTCACTTTACATATGTGGAAGCATATCTGTAAGAAATTATATTAGAAATATAATTGTTGGATCAAAGGATGTGGGCGTTAGATAAGTGTTTCTAATTTTGTAAGATATTGCCAAGTTGCAAGACATTTTGCAATCTTGAGTTTGTTTCTTAAATAAAGAATCTTGTTAAAAGTAGCTGTTTAGGCCCAGTAGAACAGATTATCTATGTCACATGGGCTTTTTCAGAATATATATACATAGTAAGTTTTGAAATCAGGAAGTGTAAGCTCTCCAACTTTGTTCTTTTTCAACATTGTTTTGACTATACTTTTTTTTTTCTGGCCGTGCCACACGGCTTGCGGGATCTTAATTCCCTGATCAGGAATCGAACCCATGCCCCCTGCAGTGGAAGCGCAGAGCCCTAACCACTGGACCACCAGGGAATCCCCATTTTTGACCATTCTTGATTCCTTGCATGTCCCTATGAACTTCAGAATCATCTTGTCAGTTTTTGCAAAAATGGCCAGCTGGAATTTTGTTAGGGATTGCAATGAATCATAGATCACTTTTGGAAGTATTGTCATCTCAACAATATTGTCTTCTAATCCATTTATTTAAATGTTCTTTAATTTCTTTCAATTGCTAGTTATTTTATTCTTTTGCTGCTATTGTAAATTAAATTTTCTAATTTCATTTTTCGATTTTTGTTGGTAGCTTGTAGAAATACAATTAATTTTTCTATATTGATCTTGTATCTTGCAACCTTGCTTGACCATTTATTAGTTCTAATAGTTTTTTTGTAGATTACTTAGAATTTTCTATGTATAAGAGCATGTCATCTGCAGAGATCATTTTACTTCTTCCTTGTCAGTCTGGATGCCTTTTATTTATTTTTCTTGCCTGATTGCCCTAACTAGAACTTCCAGTACAGTATTAAATAGAGATGACAAAAGCAGACATCTGTGTCCTTTTTTTTTTAAATTTATTTTATTTTTGGCTGCGTTGGGTCTTTGTTGTTGTGTGCAGGCTTTCTCTAGTTGTGGCGAGCGGGAGCTGCTCTTCATTGAGGTGCGCGGGCTTCTTATTGCAGTGGCTTCTCTTGCTGCAGAGCTTGGGCTCTAGGCCTACGGGCTTCAGTATTTGTGGCACATGGGCTTAGTTACTCTGCTGCATGTTAGAGCTTCCTGGACCGGGGCTCGAACCCATGTCCCCTGCATTGGCAGGTGGATTCTTAACCACTGCGCCACCAGGGAAGCCCAGACATCTTTGTCTTGTTCCTTATTTTAGCAACAAAACATTCAGTCTTTTAACATTAAGTATGATTCTAGTGAGTTTTCTTAGATGCCCTTTAGCTGTTATTTTTTTGTAGATGCCCTTCATCATGTTGAGGAATTTTCCTTCTATTACTGGTATGCTGAATTCTTTTTTTAAAAATTAAGAAAGAGTGTTGGATTTTGTCAAGTGTTTTTTCTGCATCCGTTGTGATAATCTTGTGGCTTTTATCCTTTAGTCCATTAATATGGTGTACTGCATTGATTTTCGGATGCTGAGTAGGGCTTATTAGTAATTCTCTGTGCTTTCTGCAACTCTCGTCACAGAGCTGCTGTGATGCTGTCAAGTAGTTTTGCTGCAACCATCCATTTGATGGGGGTTTTGGGGATTCCCTGATGCTTTGTTTTGTTGAAGGTGTCTGTGGGTGGTGAGTGTTTCTGTTTTTTATTTATTTTTTTGTCAGTTGTTATTATTTTTTATTTTCTGGTTGTCAGGGAAAGAGTAAGGGAGATCCAAAAGCTATGCTGCCATCATGATTCTCTAAGAGAGAATAGACCATAATGCCTATGATAGAGTTGAATTTTTACTCCTTAGTTCTACTAATTAGGGAATATAATAAGAATAAGAATATAGGCCTGACTGTTTAAGATGAATGGAGATTTTATATGTTATTTGGGATGCATGGGAGCATCCAAAATGGACTTGTATAATTGAAAATAAAGCCCAGCAGTTTATGGAGGAAGACCACTGTTTTTGGCCAAGAACCACTTAGGATGCCTTCAGTATCTCAGAGTTATGGAACTATAATTCCCAATATCACAGAATGGGGTCTAGTAACCGTCAGCACTGGCATCACATGGGAGCTTTAAGGCAATCCAGAATCTTAGATTACCCCAGACTTACTGATTCAGATCCTACCTTTTTTTTTTTGCGGTATGCGGGCCTCTCACTTCTGTGGCCTCTCCCGTTGCGGAGCACAGGCTCTGGACGCGCAGGCTCCGCGGCCATGGCTCATGGGCCCAGCTGCTCCGCAGCATGTGGGATCCTCCCGGACTGGGGCACAAACCCATGTCCCCTGCATCGGCAGGTGGACTCTCAACCACTGCGCCACCAGGGAAGCCCCAGATCCTACCTTTTAACTAGATCTCAGGTGATTCCTATCCATGTTAATGTTTGAGAAGCTTCCATGTATTTACTCTCAAGGTATGACTTTGGGTAATAGGACAATTTGCCTTTTTAAGTGATTAATCACATTTACTAATGCTTTTTTTAAAAAAAAGCTTAACTGTAAAGACATAATAATGTAAGTTGTGCACCTGAAGCCCTAAAGGTAATAAAAGGATAAAAAACTTTTTAGGGGCTTCCCTGGTGGCACAGTGGTTAAGAATCCACCTGCCAATGCAGGGCATTCAGGTTCAAGCCCTGGTCCAGGAGGATCCCACATGCCACGGAGCAGCTAAGCCCATGCCCTGCAACTACTGAGCCAGCGCTCTAGAGCCTGTGAGTCACAACTGCTGAGCCCGCAAGCCACAACTACTGAAGCCCGTGTGCCTAGAGCCCGTGGTCTGCAACAGAGAAGCCACCGCAATGAGAAGCCCACACACTGCAATGAAGAGTGGCCCCCGCTCGCCACAACTAGAGAAAGCCTGCACGCAGCAACAAAGACCCAACACAGCCAAAAATAAATAAATAAATAAAGTTATTTAAAAAAAATAACTTTTTAGTGTAGTCCAACTATAATATTGATAAGATTGTTTTTAGGGCCAAAGTTATGTATGTTTTCAGCATGCTAGCCTATAGCAACTCTCTCTTCATTTACTGTGTATTAAAGATCATCTCTTAACTTTACATTTTGATCGATGTTACCTTAAAAATAATTTATCCACTGCCTTGTTCAGAAAGGATTTAAGATAGCTTTATCATTTTGTTGTGAACTGATAACTGGAGGAATTAATGTAATGTACATATATTTACTGTCAGAGAAAATAATACTGTTCATTATATGTTAAAATTCTAACATTTTACTTCAAGATTATTTTATTAGTTATTTATGAATTACAGTATTATTTTTAAATTACAACATGATTGTGTGTTACAGCATTACAGATTAAATGGTCATTTCATATTTTAGATCTTGGTAATGTTCTAACTTCTACACCAAATGCCAAAACTCTTAATGGTAAAGCTGAAAGCAGTGATAGTGGAGCTGAATCTGAGGAAGAGGCCCAGGAAGGCGTGAAAGGAGCAGAACAAAGTGATAATGGTAATCTTTGGGTTATGAGCTAATCACTCTACATTAACTAAGGTGAAAGGCTACGGAGAGGTTTGGACTTATTTGGCATTGTGTGCGATTAGGGCACGTGAAGGGATGTGGGCTGTTGACCCTATAACCAGGTTCGTTGTGGACCAAGAGGCTCTACTACAGAGTTCAGGGACAGCCAACCTTAAGCATAGATGGATTGATGTTAATTGAAGGCAAACAAGGATAGGCCACTCCTCTAGATGTAAAGCCTGAAATGCTGCATTAGAAATGTATTCATTTAAGGTATTGTTTCCAATATAAATATGCATATGTTACCAAGGAGACAAGTTAAATTCTCAATATCTTGTCAAGAATGGCATGGACTCCAGAGAATAGAATGCAAGCAGAGATTCTGATGAAGAGGGAACATTGGAATCGTGGGGTTCTGCATTAGGGGGGCCTTGTGAGTAAGAGCACCAGTCATTCTTGGGGAGACTAGTTTAGAAAGGGGAGGCAGAAAGACACTAAAACAAGCCATACAGCTTAGTTTTGCCTTCACTTTCCAGTAAAGGCTGACAAATAATACCTTCTTTGAAGGCTGTTTTTATTGGCTATGTAGACCTATATATGGCTGGGTCTCATAGAGCAATTTGCCTATGCCCAAAAGAGTGAAAAGACCTCAAGAGATTTATCTCTTAAAAGGGGTTCTAGAAGATTCACAGGGAACTGAAGCAGTTTTGAAACCAACACAGTTTGGGTGAACTCTCAGCATATAATTAACCCCTTTTCAAGGAGCACCCCATCTCTCTGATCCACGTAGGAAGCCCTTCAAATGGATTATGATAGGCTGGGGAAATGACTACCTGATATTAGAACATAGTGTACAGAAGTTTTCCTACAGTGAATTTTTATGAATCTCTTCATTTTCACATAAAAGATAAGAAAATGATGAAGAAATCTGCAGACCATAAGAACTTGGAAATCGTTGTCACTAATGGCTATGAAAAAGACAGCTTTGTTCAGGGTGTACAGCAGAACGACATTCATGCCAGTCCTTCCCTGAATGGCAGAGGTGCTGAGACAGTAAAATCTGTAGATCAAAACTTGGAGCAAACTGAAAAAACTGCTGTCTGCGTTCACCAAGGTACTGTCACATCAAAGTTGTTTCTCTGGCTTCTTTCTTATGAATAATATATTCTTTTAATAATTTTAGGATATTTAGGAGCTGTTGAGAATTTAAAAAACCTCTAAGGTTTATTAATATTATAAGGGTTTATAGCTTTGAAAGACCAAAATAGGGCCAAGGCTTTTATATTTTTCTTGAAATATTTTTTATTGTGTTTTTGTGTAGAATTTTAAAATAAAATCTTTGAAATTTTTACTTTTATTACTGATGTTTCTTTTAACTCACCTCTCTAATTATATGATACTTTTGTTCTCAGGTCAGCAAAATAAGGTATAGTCGTTTCATAAGTTACGGCTCTAGGAGTGAGCCTATAGTGTGTATACAGTGAATTATTGCTGTATTTCACTAGAGAAACCAAGAAATACCATTTCTTAATATAACAACCAAATGTCCACAGTTACGTCCCAAATTTAGGGTCCTAGCCGGTAGTCAGTTTTTTCTTATAAAGTTATTAGGTTTTTATAAGTTTGATCTGGACAGTGTCTTTTTATAATTCCATGATAAAATACTTTGTAATCTTTTTACATAAAAATTACTGACTAAATTTAAAATTTTGGTAAGTTAAAAGAAAGTAAATCAAATTTATCTCCCAATATGAAATGGTGAATCAAATTTATCTCCCAATATGAAAATAATATAGAGCAGATAAATTTTGAAAATGTAATAATGCATTTGTCTTCAAATAGAGAATAATTATTCTACCCGGACATTTGTATATATTTAGATGTAAATGATGATCATATTGAAGATGTTTCAGCAATTCAGCATTTGACGAGTGATTCAGACAGTGAAGTATACTGTGATTCCATGGAGCAATTTGGACAAGAAGAGGTAAAAATGACATTTTTTAATTGGTAAATTTTCAAAGTGATATATCAGAATTCCATGCATAACTTCTATTAATAACAGATGTGTATGCTGTTCACCACTTTGAAAACATACCTCTAACATGTTTAAACATTTGTATTTTGGGTTTTTGTGAATTAAAAAATATATAAAATTTCTGAATATTCAAAACTGTTTAAATATTATAATTTATAATGTATTTACAGCTATAAATATTCTGAGAGAGGTGGGATGGGAGGCAGAAGGTGAACTCCTTATGCTAGTCCTTATGTTTGAGACATTGATAACAGTCAAGAAGACTGAATAATTTCAAACAAATAAATCTGTTCTTCACATTGACTAAATACATTGGACTGAAGTTTGTTTTTTTTTTTTTTTTTTTTTTT